TATATATATATATATATATATATATATATATATATTAGTTAGTTAGTTATTTATGCAAAAACTATGTAATCCGCATGGGTAGACCCAAGGAGGATGATATCCGGAGAGCTCAATGTAAAATTCAGAGCCGATATGTTTGAATAAAAACAGACCACTTTAAGGTTCCATGTAATAAGTTATTTCACCACAACCCCTTTAACAGGGCTCTGGATCATCAGACTTTACTTTCAAATGTTGAAAAAAGGTTTTTCAATCTTTCGAATTAAAGTCTGATGGCCCAGAGCCCTGTAAAAGGGGTTGTGGTGAAATAACTTATTACATGGAACCTTAAAGTGGTCTGTTTTTATTCAAACAAAAATATATATATATATATATATATATATATATATATATATATATATATAAATCATATATAGAGAGATATAGAAATATTTAGGGGGATTTGAAATAACCACCATCCCAGAAGCTCCTACCAACAGAAGATCATTCTGTTATCATCGAGCAGATTGGGACTCATTGCCTGATTGCCTTCGTGATATCTCTTGACGTTTTTAATAATCCCGTTCAAAAATGGCCATCTGAGATCTCCCTCTGGGCGATGCTTTCATTCTAGTATGGAAATACCAAGTTAAACCGCGGTTATCCTTGGTTCTCACTTGCATGCTTGGCCAATATAGCTCACAATAATCAATTCTTCCGGCTGTACTAGAGCGACAAGTCTGATTGCAACAGACATCTCTTTTTCTCTGCTCGTAACGAGTGAAAGCCTGTCCTCTGTTATGATTTTTTGTGTATATACTGTATATAACTAGTGAGTTAGTCAAAATGACTTAATTCCATTTCTAGACTACCAATAGAAGATTAACCAATCAGATGTATCCGTCGTGTATAAAGGCGGCCATCTTTGTTTACCCTACCGGAATGACCAGAGCCAACTTGTGAGGCGAACATGACAGACGGAAGAACTACGCTCTGCTGCGATATCCACTGCGAACCTAAACTACGCTTTCCTACTGTCTTCGAAATATTCACTGCCAACCTCTGGATTCTATACTCGAGGACGACCGTCATGAAAATGTCTAACATCCTCAATATAGCGAAGTTACTGTTTGCTGTTCTAATGAAACAACGTATAACATCTCGCAAGTTTGTTTCTAGAAATTATTGTCGGCTCTGCAAGTGTGAGTTGAACAAGAAAAAATCATCAATCCATCCTTTATTCAATTAATTCGAAGTTCTAACATCCATAGAAGATAAGGGTGAAAGTTTTGCCGGGAAATTCCCATCCAACTCAACACCCGACTAACCTGGAATACCCACATCTGATTCCCTTACTAGAACTGATGTTCTACTGAGTGGTATGTGCATAACCCCATCGCTGCTCTCGGATGTCATTTCTAAATTATACTGCCATAAGGCAGTTCGAAGTGACAGGATACCAACTATCGTCCTAAAGAAATGTGCTCCAGAGCTGCTCTCATTTCTCTCCAAACTTTGTAACTATTGTCTCACTTCTTTCCAACTTGTTAGAAGTTCTCTTCCGTAGTCCTTATTTAAAAGAAAAAAAAAACTCTGGAGAGCAATCTGACTCCTCTAACTATCGACGTATCAGTCTCCTACCGCGTTTCGGCAAATTCTTCGAGGCTTTAATCAATGCTGAAGTGGTAAAGCATCTAACCTCAAACGACCTACTCTCTGAAAAACAAAATGGATTCCATTTTGCCCGGTCTACCGCTAACGTGCCAACGACCATTACTGAATATGTATATCAAACTCTTGACAAGAACGGCGATGCACGAGCTGTGGCTCTAGATATATCGAAGGTGTTTGACAGGATTTGACATACTGGTCTTCTGCGTAAGCTCAAGAGCTACAGTATTACAGGATGATTGTTTGAATTAATCCAGCCATTCTTATCAAATCGGGAAAAGAACGTCATTCTGAACAGGCTCGTTTCCAGATCTTTCACCCGAACGGGGGTATCCTCCAAGGCTCTATCCTGAGTTCTACACAGATTCCGATCATCAGTGATCTTCCTGATATCATCAGTTCCCAAGTATGCATCTATGCATGTGACACTACCATTTACTATTGTCTCAATAATAAATCCCTTCGCACTGATAAATTAAACCTGGCCGTTGCTCTCGAAAAGGACACCCAATCAGTGGTTAACTGGGGCAGGGAATGGCTTGTAAATTTTAATGCTTCCAAAACTAAATTGCTCTCATTTACCACCACAGAGAAACTTCCCTGCTCGCCATTAGCATGCTCGACTCGAGAAGAGCGCCTCACTCTGCGTTCTTTCAATTGAAATGAAGAGGAACCATTACATTGAATTAAGAGCTGCGATTAAATTTTTTTTTTCACTATGCCATGTCAGGAGGCTTTCTTTTCAAAGTCCATCTTGCACATACAAAAATCTACTACTCGTGGGTGCAGTGAATGTAGTTGACATATTTGGTCTGGTACCCTTGATGTTCATATCGAGGTTCCCGAAAAATTCTAAAGGGAATCTGCAATTCAATCGCTCATCTTGGCATCACAGACGTGACATGATTCCCTCTGTCTTTTCTAAAAATATTTTCATGGTAACTGCTCTGACGTGCTTTTTTCCATAGTACCCCGACTACATGACTTTAAGCGTGCAACTGGATTGTCAAATGTTTACTGTTGAAATAGTCAAATATAACCGCCCCGCCTACTACAACGGTTTCTATTCTCGCACTTTCCGATGGTGGAAGTCCCTTCCTCGTAGTTGCTTTCCTGATAAATTTAATTTTCAAAACTTTAAATGCAACGTCAATCGCCATCTTCTGTTGTCTTGAATCCCGTTAATCTTTTATCCTTTCTTCAATCGCCTCTATACACTGTCTTTTCTCTCACTTTACTTCTCTATAATCCGCTGCATACGAGTGGCATTTCCGCTTTGCTTGGGGTGAAATACTTTAAAAATATCTGGCGAAGGAATATCTCCATAGGAAAACGGCACCTTAGGGTTGTAATCTGTACCACGTGTCTGGGATATAAATTTGGCATCAGCACTTTCTTACTTCTAAAATCTGACTGAAAGTAGGACTGAATACTTTGGTCACTCTATGAGGTGACGTCAATAAGCCGCTCTTTCGTGGCCCACGTGACATCCTCTTCACCAAATGGCTATAATCAACTTTTTTTTTTTTTTTAACTCTACACGAAATTATGAAATCAAAGGATGAGCAATGGAAACCCATATGGCCTTTAATTTTGCGAATATTTTCAAGACAAACTTCGAAGAAATACTACATAAATTTTTCCAAATTCTACATAAATCTTTCCAATAAGTGCACAGCCATGAATATTTT